TTGAACTACCGAAAACATTGGCTGACTTATCAAAAGATCAAATATTTTCTTCAGAAAAAATAAAAAACAAAATACCGTTACTTTTCTTCTTCAATGACTACTTTTCTAGATATCTTAACTATAACTTTAGGTGATTCAGCCACTTTATTTTGCTCCAAAAAAAATTAACTAAAACATTAGTCGAAATATCGAAAACATTAGCTGAATTCACATAAAAACACTCGTTTTATCAAGAGAAAACCAAAAGTACCGCTAGTTTGTTTTGCATTCTAATTTTTAAAGTATTTGAATAGAAGCTAGTACATGGTGAATATTGATATAGTTAAGAAGCTTCGTTTTGTTTTTATAAAGTAAATTTTAGTGATTGAAATTAATTTAAAAAAATTTTAAAAAAGTCATTATTATTACTTAAAAAAAATAAAAATTGTTTACAAATAATTTTAAAATTGTGTTAAAAGTTATACGAGAAACTTGCTACTATTGAATACATAAGTGAACGGCAATTTAAAAGTGTAAAATTTTTATGAAATCAAATACATAAGTAAAAAAAATCAGGATCTGGTTCTTGTTCAGATAAAACTATCAAAAGAAATAATTCCTTTGTTATTGAAAATGTAGAAATTATAAATCTACCACTGAATATAGCGAACTCGAGGTTGTGCAAGGGTACCAAAGCGCTTCTTTTGGGTTGGGGCTTGGAAGAGTTAATTCCCGATTTTACAGGTAAATTATATTCTATCAATACATAATGTCATCAATTATATAATATCAAAGTTTTAATAAATTAAATTAAACAAAAATAACACAAAAAATTTAATGTAAGGTTGTATTTACAATGCTCTAATTATTTTATTTTACCTGTTGGAAGGTAAAATAAAATAATTAGAAATGAAATTATAAATTTGTAAATATAATTTTTTTGATGTTGTATAATTTTTTATGTTACATTTAGTATTGTTATTAATTATGTCCTTCATATATTTATTGCATTTTTAGTTAAGAACATTAACATTGAGGTGTTGCAAAATCTAACTGCAGATGATATCAATTTTTTGATACTTCAAGAACAATTTGGAACTAGAATTGTATTTCGGACAAGATTATTTCAGTGAAGAGATGAAAATGTAATATAAATGTTTTAATGAAAATAAGATACACACAACAAGTAAAAAAGTAGACTTAAAATATAATAACTATGATTTTACGTTATCTGATTTTGAAAAAATTAGTTGCACAAATAAATTATATGTCCACAATACTTTATACCAAATTAATGACGTAATTATTATTAGTGATTTGAAAACCAATAAGTTTTTTTTAATTATGTATGTGTTAAAAATAATACGTTTTTCTTTTGTTGTGAAGAATTGCTTATATATAATTTTGAACCACATTATTTATGTTATAATGTAAGTAGACAAAAGTGTAAACTTTTAAAAATAATTAAAACAAATGATATAAGATATCCACCTATTCATTTAATAACTATGTCTAATAAAAATATATTTATCAAAATTAAACCACCTTTTATATAGATATGTAAACATATGTATGATTTAATTAAAAACAATAAAAATCTAAAATAATGTAACATTAACTGAAAAAATATTGCAAAAAATAAAATTAAATGAAACAAAACTTAATTTTTAATTTACAACATCCTTTTATTTTCAGGATTAAGCCTAAATAAATTTAGAAGAGAGCCTAATTTATTTAGATATTTTTTCTAATATAATAGATAAAAACACTATTTTAATTATCTAATTAAATAGTTATATTTTCGATTCTTATAACTAAATAATTAGGCATATTATCTATTGTAGGGAATATTTTTCAGCTAGTTATTTAGGTGAAATTCCAATTTCTTTAGTTGAATTCCAAAAAGATTTTAAAATAATTCAACTAAAAGATTAGGTGAACCAACTCTTTGCTTAGTTGAAATCCAGACAAATGTTTAGGCGTTTTAGCTAGTATTGTAGATAAATTAGCTAATTTATTTGGTTAATTTTCCTAATTATTAAAAAGTAAATTCAGCTAATTTAAATTAGGCAATGTAGCTAAATAGTTTAGGAGGCTGAAAATCAAGCATTTCATTAGGTGATTTATACTATTGTTTTAGGTAAATTTTCTACTCTTTTTTTTCTGTGTTCTTGCGATAATTGTAAAAAATTTTACATTAATCTTTGGTGAGATCATATCCTGACATTCCCTGATATTCCGAAATTTAATTAATTGTTTTAAAAGCTATAGCTGATATATTCACTTTAAAGGAAATTAGTATATTATTCCTCTACAAATTACAACAAAAATAACAATTCATCTCGTAGTAAAATTCCAGTATTTTGCAACTAGTTTCTTTGAAAACCTAACTGCTTTTAAATATCAAGAAAAAATATTTTCTTAAAAATGATAAAATTTAAAAACAGGCTGATTGTTAAGGTCCATGTGCCAAAGAACTGGAATATCCCAATTGGTAATAAATTCTAATATAGAGATTGTTTTGAACTTTGTCATTTAACGTACAATTTGGCACAATTAAATGCTTTATCTATAGAATAAAACATTAGTGCTTTATCTATAGAATAAAACATTAGTGCACAATTAAAATATAATTTTTATAAAAAATTTTTATATGGGTGAATAGACTTTGTTTACTTACTCCTTTTCGATGGACTTTTCGTAATAAATTTATTTTTATACCCGTACGAACGTATGTTCGAAGGGTATACTAAATTTGCCTAACCGTTGTAACGCGAAGAAATGATGTTCTGAGATATAGACTCAAGTGTATGTTTTTGATCAACGTCGAATTCTGAGTTGATTTAGCTTTGTCTGTCTGCGCGTGCGTCCCAGCGATAACTCAGAAACTAATTGAGCTAAGTTCACCAAATTTTCAGAAAAGATTTATTGTAGTAAGTGCCAGAACCCTATTTAAATTGGACATGATCGTGGTACCGGTTCGGATAGTTGTCATACAACTTCAAAATTCATTTGGCTATATCTCAGAAACTATAAAAGCTGTGGTATTGAAATTTTACGCAAGCGAATATATTGGAGGGCCAATGTGCTTGATAAAAGTCGTTGAAATTACTTGGTTCCTTCTGGTACTTGTCATACAACTTCAAAAGTTATTTGGGTATTTCTCAGAAACTATAAAAGCTATGGTATTGAAATTTCACAAAAGCAAATATATTAGTAGGGCCGATGTGTTTGATAATATTCGTTAAAATTGCTTGGCTCTTTCTGGTAGTTGCCATACAACATCAATAGTAGTTTGGCAAACACCGTATTTTGAAAAACGCAGTACTGAAAGTTTGCATAAATTAATATGGTAATACGGCAACGTAGACTCTCCCATAGTTTGTTATGGTATATTTATTCGCACATAGAATAACAAACTCGTAAGGGTATCACAGAGTTGACAAGGTCAACTCTATTTTTTCCCTTTTAATTTAATTTTCATTTAAATTGTGAATCAAAAATTTGATCACATTTGCTTCACTAAAAAATTGTGTGTTGTAAATTTTACAACCAATATAGTTTTTGTATTTACATCATTGAATAAAAAAATTAAAGACATTATTCATTTAGTTTTTTCATTTTCATAAAAAAAAACCGGAATTAACAAGGACTTTTGAGATTATATTAAATAAAATTAAGAAACAAGAATTAAAATTTTAAAACTGGAACATTAAAAAGTCTGAGATTTAGTTATCCTTCCTAATAAGTTGCAATCATTCTTGAGGACGTTGTGTAAGAATTTCACTTTCATTTGAATGAACAGGATTTTATGATTGGACAAATCTTTGTGCATTGGATAGTTAAAAGCGATAGTGAATATGAAAGCGATAGTTATAATATGTTATAGTGAAATGGGTACGAATGAGGAGCGATGTTTTGCGAATGAATTCACGAATTCGTACGAATGGGTACGAATGTAATCGATGTACATAATTTCATTATTTTAATTCATGTAACTTGTTAATGTTATGTTGGTTTAATTTTTGAAATTTCACAAATTAAGGTAATATTTTAAAAGTTTTCTCATTAGTAAAAGTTGGTAGGTTCTAGTACAAACATTTGATTTTAAAATATGACATGTAAATATTTTTAGGAATATTTGTTACTGCCTGGTTTTAATATTTACAATTTTAAAGTCAATGGTTCAGACTTTATAATTTGTTTCACATACTTCTTAGTTTTTTTAAATCAAGACGTAAAATTTGGATAGTTTATTTTGAAAGTAAAAGTAATTTAAAAAAAAAATGAAATATTGGTACGTTAAGGTTTAAAGCAAACAAAAACTTGGTTTACTTTTTCTGGTTATTTTATTCAACGAGATGAGTTTGAATTTCAACCATTCAAACTTAATATAATTGTTTTGAAGATAAAAGAGATTTGAAATTGCAAATGAACTTAGGTCTTTTTCAAAATAAACTATCCAGTTATTCAACCAAAGTTTTAAAAAATAAAATTAGCTATGTCGGACCGATAAAAATTTCTGTATTTAATATAATATTTTCAATAATTTTTTTTACTCTTTATTTTATTAATCGCACTAAATTAAAATATTTTAATTTCGATTTGTAATAATCTTCAATATACTTATGATCGTATCGTGTTATTATTAATGGCATTGCATTTTGTCACAGCATGCAAAACAAAAATTTTTGAGTATTGTGACATTAAAAATCAAATTGTTTTTTCTTCGCAACGTTATTTTTAAATCTTGACTTAATATGAGCAACAAGAAGAAGGCATTAAAAATTTTGCCTTTTGTTTTTGATATCCAATGATTTTGATATTTCAACCACAAGCTACATATTTAAAAATTTTTAAATCTTTTTATTTTGGTTTTGTTACTTCTTGTAATCATGAACATGCACTTTAATGATTCCTAATTAAATTTTACAAGATAATTTTCGTTTTAAAATTGTTTTAAGAAAATATAAATGTTGTTAATAATTTTTATATTATTTTTATTTCATTAAATATTATAGTCACATGAGGATCATTCTGAACATGATGATGATATGAGAGATATCGATTTAACAGAAGAGAGCGGTCATCATATAAATCATAAATCAAAGATGTCATCGTCATCAATTGATTATACAAATTGTACTAATTCTAATTTAAATACAAGGGGTGATGGTGGTAGTAGTGGTGGTGGTGGTGGTAATAGTGCAATGATTGGTTTAGGAACAAATAATATTAGAAGTCCTTTACAAAATACAGATATACCTTTAGGGTAATTTATTGTTTTGGTTTTTGTTTAATAATTCAAATGTTTTTTTATTCATTTATAAGATTTAAAAATATTTTCAGTCATCCCCATCATCCACAATTTCCATCAAATCATCCATTAGGGGCTTTATCAAATTTTATGGGTATAACTGGTTTACACAATTTACCAAATTTACCAAATGGCGATGTTTTAGAGAAACTTAAAATGCAAGTTAGGGATATGAAAGTTGGTTTAATGGTAAAAAAGACAACATTCTAATAAAATTTAAAAAAATTATCTACATACATTTTATTCCTATGATTATTAAATTTTACAAAATTTACTTACTATGTAAATGTAGGATCAGGATTATTCACCGCACGGATTTTCACATCAAAGTTTAGCAACACCACCAAATACAGCTTTTGCATTACCAACACCAAATTTAGGTAGTTTTGGCCATCATTCACAAAGTCTATCACATCAATCTCAGTCATCATCCTCTTCATTGTCACATCAACAATCCCAATCGAGTTCACATCAAAATAATTCACATTCAATATCGAATGGTTATCCTTTTACTTCACCAAATGCACCTTGTACAAAAGATGGTAAGTTGGAACAACTGAAATATTCCTTAACACTATAGATTTCGATTTAATATCAAATCATACATAAATTTGTATTTTTATGAATTACAAGCATATAGAAAAGTTATAATTTATTCTACAGCAAACCCAGCATCGAATTCTTCTACATCCAGTGAAGCATCAAATTCTTCACAACAAAATAACGGCTGGAGCTTTGAAGAACAGTACAAGCAAGTGAGACAGGTTAGTAAACTCTATTTATACCCAAACATTATCATTTACATATTAAATGGTACGCTCTTTTCAAATTATTCTCACCTAGCTTTTATACTTTGATTCTTCCTTACTTTTTGAAAGGGATTCGCAATAAATTAAGTGTTAGTTTTTGTATTCATAATTGCAAAATGTTTTGAAATATCTGCTTTTCAGAATAGAAGAATAAAAACTATTTTAAACTGATTTTTAACAAGTGACATGTTTTAACAAGATCATAAAATATGCTCTGAAAATAATAATTAAAAAAATAATTACTTTATGTTGGCAGATAATCAAAATGCAAAATAATTTAAATTATAGTGTAAAATTTTTAAAATAATTTTTATAATCTTAAAGTTAGATAAACAAGTAGAGTAAACATACATACATATTTAAATATGTTAACATCACATTTCCCTCGACAAAGTCTCAGCCTAACTAAATGGCGAAAAATAGAAATCAAATAATTATGGAAAAGTCTCCACAAGTGATATCACATAAACAAAGAACAAAAAGAAAGAAAAAGAAGAGCAAAATTATTTACAACTTACATTTTATTGCATTCTATTTTTAAAAAATAAAAACGCATAATGCGGAATTTTATAAAGCCTTATAAAAACCGTGTTATGTTCATAACACTTGTTGTAATTCGAAAAAATAATTATATTTATTCAAAGGTTTGCTTTAGTATGATTTAATTGAACAATTTTGTAAAATTGTATTCGGAACAACACACGTTCTTACTAAGAAGATTTAAAAACTTATCAGAGGTTTCTGTATTAAATTTTTAACTAAAATTTTTTTGCCGATATAAAATTCATGTACACTTTTTTAATTTTGTTCTAAATTAAATATCAAATAAAAAATTCTAAAACTAAAATTTTTAATAATTTTTAACGTAACAATTTAAATTGTTATCTTATACATATGAACAAATAATTTGATATTTTATTGATTGTTTTTGAATAATATTTTTAAAAGTAAAATTTCAAGAGTTAATCAAATATTCAAAGTATGTTGAACATTGTTCTTGCTTAGATTGCTAAGATAAATTAGGTCTATACATTTTGATAGATCTCAATTAGTTATTTGTTTCACAACAATCCTAATCACAAGTAATCCGAAATCTGTTCCTGAAATTAAATACATATATAAAATTTTCAAATTTATTGAAAATCTAAGCATAAGAAATTTACAAAGGGTACGTCCATTGGTTTTTTGTTTTCTTTTGAATTAATGAATAAAAATATTATGAACATTATTGAATTTATTTGCGAAACCTTAAAAGTTTACCTATCAATGTGAACATTTTATTTTGTTATTATAAAGTAAACTATAAAATAATAGGACAATTGCCACAATTTTGTTGCCTTTAGCTTGTGATTTATCATTTGTTTTCCATTGCTCTTAATGTTAGTACTATTTGAAAATATTTTTATCCAATTTTTTAAAAAAGATAATGTAGACCCAAAAATTGAAGTTTTATCAACACTTTTAACTGTTTAATACAAACAAAGAAAAATTTAATTTTCGTAACCTGGCCCTAAATTTTTTGATAAAAATTTTGTCTTCTTGGTTTTTTTAAGCAAAATTTTAACAAACTCCGCAAGTTTGTAAAAGTTGTTACGATTTCTAAAATAATAAAACAACAAATGAACTAATTAAAATTATGTACCGTTCAAGGTTCGTAGATCGCAGGTGATTTTTCATACTTATATTATAATAAACAGTTAAATTTTTTTTTTGCGTGGAAACTTATTTTCCTATGGATAAAAAGGGTTAAACACACTATAGACACGTGACAATGCAACCAATTTCAATATTGATCTATTTTACACAACTGTATTAAATTTTCGAATATTCTTAGAATTAACAGGAACATTTTTTGATTTCCTTATTGTTTTGTAACACATTATTTTTCTAATTATATTTGTTATGTAATAGAATTACTAAATATTGTTTAAGATTTTTTTTATGCTCTTCTCACATAAAATTATTTTTGGTGTTCCGAAAATATCGGTTTGATGGCCTTAACCTTGAAAGTATAAAGTAAAAACAATAAACGTATTATATATGTAAATACGGAGTTGCTGCATTAGTGTAATTTTTTAAACAAAATAAGCATAAAACAAAAACAAATACTAAAATAACACATTTTTAATATTCAATCTAAGATGAAAAATATTTTAGAAATAAAATAGATGTGGTACAAATGCACAATCATACATATGTGAATAAAATACATACATACTTAGGTACGTAAGTGTATGGCAGAGGTACTTATTTTGATGTGAACAATATCACATGGAAGTATTCCACAGATTTAATACAAGTATATACTTTGTAAATTTTGACATATTAGAATTTATATTTCTGTTTTTTACAATTTTTGACTTTTAAATGTATATTTATATCTGAGTATTCTTTTTCTAAGAATATTTTGTATATTTGAATATAAAAGTTTTCAAATTTTTTTGGAAATGTGTTCACTCTTATTTAAATGGGTTAGGACAAAAATTTGGTTTCCTGAAAGTAGTACTAATTGATTATAATTAACACTTCTTAAAATTTCTCCAAAAAAACTTGTTATTAATTTCATTCTGTTCGTTCATTAGTTCGTGCATGCGAACGTTGAAATAATTTTTTCATTCATTCAAAACTATTTTTTTTAACTTTTCGCTTTTACATTAGACAGTTAGCTGGAAGAGTATAAAAAAACACCAATAACAACAATAAGAGTTTGAAATTAGATATTAATGAATAATTTGTTTCCTTATGAAATTTTTTTATCGCCTCTCGAAATTATTAAAATTGAAATTTTCAGCAACTTATGTTTCCGAAACTGTTAATTGTTCCGAATTTCTATGAAAGCAAAATCTAACGGTTGATGTTCATAAAGAATATAATTATTTATTTTAATTAATAGTCGTATTCGACGACTATGTTTACAATTGTTTTAATTTTTGATTCTTTCGCCAAAATATATGCAATCTTTTTAATTGCATAAATTTTTTTTCAATTTTTAGCACTTGTCCAAAAATATTTTATTAGTTTCACTCTGTCCGTTTGCTTTCCTTCCGACAGTACGTCCGTCCGTCTACCCACGCGTTTGTTTACAAAACTTCAGCACCCTTGAAAATAGAAAGCTGAAATTTTATATGTACATAGATCTTATCAAGAAACTTTTTACGCAAAAGAAAATTTTTACCTATCTCTCCCCTTAAAAGTTATACCCCCTCAAAATCTTAAAAACCGTTAGCATTTTCCAAATTTTGCAAACATTGGCAGTGGATTGCTTCTTCTATCACATCATACAATATTTGATCTTTGAAAAAAACAAAATGGCAGTTAAAATTTATCATTTTCTAAAATCCGTTTTTTCCAAATTTTTGATGTCGTTCTTCTTCTAGACTACAGGTTGTAAGAGTTTAAAATTTTAATAGCTTTTAGACACTAAAAAATAGTTTATTTCGTTAGAAAAAAAATTTACCACCTCAAGTTATCGCCTTTCGAAATTTTTAAAATTCAAATTTTCGGCATTTTATATTTCCGAAACTGCAAACTCAAATTTCTATATATGCAGAAAACTAACGGCAAGTACCATGTCATTAAAAAATATACATGATTGCTTTTCTCAACCCACGCAATTAATACTTCAAATCGAGTTTTATCTCGCCTCTTAAATTTTTTTTTGCTTTATTAATGCAAAGGTGATACTTTACAAACCATTGGCTTTTGATTCTAATTTGAAAACAAAAGAGGCAGTTAATCGAAGTGAAAAAAGTGCTTTTGTAGGAAGTTAAGAAATTATTGAAAGAAAATTCATTTGAAAGTAGGAAATCTATATTTAGTAGAGACAATAAATTGCCAATTTATATTCCGTTAAAAAATCGCGAGTTTATCAGATTAAACTATTGCCTTTATTCAATTTGCGTTTTCTCTATTCTACCTCTTTTTTGAAGAAGTTATACGGCGGTCAATTAAAAAGATCAATTTACTAATGATAAATTTCTAGAAAGATGTTCAAATACGTCTTTAGTTAAAGTTTAGATTAAGAAATCTTAATGTTTGTTCAACATTAGTTGAGTTTGTATAACATTTTATTTACATTCTAAAAAAATGTTTTTTAGTTTTTACTTAAATTTATCCTAAAATATGCCATTAATTAAAATTTTGTTTTCGTCAGTTGTAGAGAATTTTGTTCTATTTTAGCACTTAAATTTTGCATTAAAATTTTTGTATACATATGTTTAACAATTATATTGAAATAAAAATGAATCGAAATTTAAACAAAATTTATTTTTAGTTATTTATAGTATTTTTATTAAATTATTATTAAATTATATAATATTTTTAATAAAACAACATAAACTTTGTTGAATGTGAAAATGTCTAAATTAAACTTAATAAAAATACTTATTTCTACCTTGTTCTACTTCAAATAATTTTTAACAAAAAATGTGCGTTGGGTTTTGTATGAACTTAATTATATTTCGAGTTCAAAAAATTTTTTTCAATGGTTGATAATTTTTCCGAAATATAATTCTTATCAAAGCAATAGAAGAAAATCAGCTTTGATAAAGTGCGTATGTAGCGCACGAAATATATTACCAAAAAATAAAAAAAAGTATTTTATTCCGAATAAAAGGAAGTTTTCTTTTCATACCAATAAAAAAAAAAGTATATTTCGAGTATTTAATTGAGTTAAACTAAACAGATCTAATGTAACGAATAATTCTCCATATGAAATAATTAAAATTTTCAATATTATCTTTACAAAATTTATCGCAAGCACATCGAAATTTAAGCCGTTTTCATATATCTTACATATAGCTTAAAACTGCAATATTTAAAACCGTATTTATATAATAATCTGGCAACTCTTTGTTGTTGTTTGACATTACCTAAAATTCATTAATGATTTTGATGGCTAATCATAAAAATTAGTGAAAATAATTTTAACAATATTGTAAAAAGTCCTTGCATTC